GGGGGGGGGGGGGGGGGGGGCGCGGCAGGCCCGGCTGCGCATGCGCGCGGAGGCTGGACGGCCCCGCTTTCCCCGCTGGGCGCCGGGGGCCTGGGCTCCACGGGGCGGTGGGGCGGGAGGGCGCAGTGCGGGAGGGACAGGCCGTGCGGGTGTGAGCCTCCGCGGGCTTGCGCTGCCCTGTCCCTGGGGCGGTTGTCCCCTCGCTCGCTGGTGGACAGAACTGGGCAGAAGGAGCCGTCCCCAAGGAAGTCGCCTCCTCCGGGAGTCTCCGCGGCCCCGGGCCAGGGCAGGCGCCACCTCCGGGATTTCCCGATGGTCTTTTCAGTGCCGTGACACCTGGGGACCTGTCGCGTTCTTGCTTGCTCCTGGCCTCGGCGGGGTCACGGGCTCCGCGGGGGGTGGGGTGGGGGGCTAGGGCAGGAGGGGACTCCAGCAGCAGGTGCTTTGGGACTCCTTCGTGAGATCCAGGCTGGGCCCGTGGCCGGGGACGCAGCCGCACCTGAACCCCAGGCCACGTCTCCCGGCTCCAGGCTCCAGGCCACGGCGGGAGCCTCTCTTCCCTGAGCCTCCACGCGCTCCTCTGTGAAGTGGGGCGAGGAGGCCATGGCGGGGCTCCTGCTAGGGCCTGGTGTAGTGGCCGCGACCAAGTGGAGGGCTGTCATTGTAGGGCTGGGGGGGGCCGGGGAGGCCCTGGACTCCAAGAGGCGGCTGCTGAGCAGCCCCAGAAGCTTCCGCAAGGTCCTGATCCCAGATGCCCGCACTGCACACAGCCTGGTTTGGTGCTAGACATTCTCTTCCATGTTCCTTTCTGACCCTTGTGGCCAGCCCCTCCCAGGGGTCCTGCCTGGGCTTCTGTGACTGCACTTGAACTGTGGTGTGTAGGCGAAGTCGAAGGTGATGGGGAGAAAAGCATTTTAAACCTGTCTTTTTATAGTTCTCCTCGCGCTAGAGTCCTCCCTGGCCACTGGCTCCTCCTCTTTCACCCTGTCAAGGACCAGGGATCAGCCTTTGTTCTTGGCATCCTCGGTCGGAGGCAGCTTGCCTTGGCTCCCTCCTTTTGGGCTCTGAGGCCCTTGCTGAGTCACCCTGCCTGAATCGCTGTCCTCTGGAGGTGGATGGGTGGGACTCAGCCCTCTTGGTAGCACCTGACCTTAGATCCCTTAGGTACTCTCAGGACTTGTGCCTGCAATCACAGGGAGAGGCCACCAGAGGGCAGTGGTCCCACCTGGGAGGGACACCCTGGGGCCCTGGAGGCTGAGAGAAGGGGGTTCCCATTCCAGCCCTGCCACTGTGTGACCTAGGGGACATGGCTGGGTGAGGCTCCCCGAGGCTGGCTTTCCTTCTCTGAGATGAAGACGGCCCTCTCTGGCCTCAGGAGTATTCTTGTGCGTCGTTGCAGAGGTTACCCAGCACATAGTAGGTTCTCAGTTAATGCTTCATCTGCAGGGGCCGTGTGCCCTGCTTCCTCCCTCCCCAACTTCCTCTCCAGAAAGAGCTCCCGTGTTGGCCAGGGGGACCCTCCAGGTGAGGCCTGGGCCCTCACCCCTGCTGGCTGCCCCACTCCTCTGTGGTTGGTGCCCCTTTCCTCAACCAGAGGGGACCCTGATGGTGCTGTCCACTGTGCCACCATTGGCTGACCAGCGGCCATGCTGCTGCTTTCCAGCTTGGGTTCGGTTCGTCGCCTTCATTTTCTGAGCCTGCGGGTCGGTCCTTGTCACTTCCACTCCATGCTCACTTAAAGAGCATGAATCCCATCCTGAGAGGAGGAACGTGAGGCCCAGAGTGGTTAGGCCACTTACTCACAGACACACAGCAGTCAGGGGAGCAGGAATGGAAAACAGGCCTGTGAGGCTCCCAGCTTGGACCTGGGCACTTCCTGCCTTGGGACTGGCTTGGCCCCCTGCCAGCCCCTGCCCCCCCCCCCCCCCCCCCCTTGGCCTGCAGGGCTTGTGCCTCAGCTGCTCCAGGAAAGCGGACACCCGCACACTCGGCCTCCTCAGGCTGGGAATGTGATATTCCTTGAGCTGGGGTTGGCCCCGCTGTTCTGCTGCCGCTTTCCAAAGGCTGCTGGGGACCTGCCAGGCTGGTGGCCTGAGGATCTGTACAGGCCCACCCGTCCCGGGCAGCCACAGGCTGTTCAGGGCCTGAGCAGAGGCCCTGCTGGCCTGGCCCTGCCCCTGCTGGAGCAGGGAGTTTCCCACAGGGGACACAACCAGGAATAGCAGGGCCGCCCCACGAGACAGTCCCCGCCCGCTCCACAGGGGACGCTGTGGCCCAGAGCCAGTAGGGCCCTCTGGAGCCCTGGGTCTGGAGCCGCTCTGGGCCCTGTTTGGTGCAGGTGGAGGCTGGAGCTGGGGGTCGCAGGGCAGGAAGCTGGGCACCGCCTCTGCTCTGGCTGCGGGCCCGTGTCTGCTGGTACCTGGGACTGAACTCAGGGCACCCGACACTGAGCCACGTCCCCAGCCCCATTTTGTACTTTATTTAGAGACAGGGTCTCACTGAGCTGCTCAACGCCTCGTTGTCACTGAGGTTGGCTTTGAACTCGCGATCCTCCTGCCTCAGCCTCCTGAGCCGCTGCCTTCTGCCTTATTCTCAATACTCAATTTCAGGCCTTTTACTTTGTTCTCTAGAGGAGTTGGTGGGAAGGGAAGGCGGCCCTCATCTTAGATGTTTTTCTGCCCTCAAAGAAACGCAGGCCTGGTGAGTGCCTTGTCCAAGGTCCCGGGGCCGGGGACATAGCTGGACAAGGCCCCTTGTCCCACCCAAGTGCTGAGCCAGACCTCCACCCCCATCTGCCATTGGGCGCCTCTCCTCCCGGCCAGCGAGCTCTGCCCTGTATGATCTCGCAGGGGTCACAGACACAGGGGCTCAGCTGTGGACCCCGACCTTGGTCGTGCTCCACCCAGAGACCCCACCGGTGACTGCAGAGGCACGTGTCCCCTGTGGGGCAGAGGTGGGCCTCCGGTTGCCTCGAGACTTTGGTCGGCTGGCATCGGGGGCTGATGTGGCCCTGAGTTCATGCCTTTGTCGGACCTACTGTGCGCCAGGCCTGGGTGAGGGTGCTGGAGACTCTCCCTCAGCCTCCTGCCGCTGACAGTCCAGGGGGCCTGAGATGCCTGGGGGTCCCCAGGATGAGGGAGAGGAGAGGACCACAGGTGGGGCTGCGCATGTGCAGATGTGGCGTCGGCCGGTGAGGGGGCGCAGAGAGGAGGCTGGATTGGCCGTGTGTGCAGGTGCGGGGCCAGGCCGTGGTTATGGTTGTGAGTGGGACAGGTAAATGAGAAGGTGGGTAAGTGCTTGTCGGGGAGGGCCCCCCCGCACCATGGTCAAGGCTAAGGTCTGCCCCCTGGGGCAGGTCTGCGATTGCGGACCGTGTTCGCTCGGAGGAGAGCAGGCGGCCTGACCAGTCAGAGGAGGCTGGCCTTGGTGAGCAGCGCTTGGGCCAAGGTTAGAGGCAGGAAGGAGAGTCCTGGACGGTGGGCGAGGCCCAGGGACCTTCTTCGACTCTGACTGGATGCGGAGTGACTGGGAGATGGGGGACCAGATTTGGATTCTGAGGATAACAGCAGTTCTTGTGTCATCAACTTAAGAAGAACTTATCCCACGAGGGGACACATCCTTAGTCCCAGTGGGAGAGTCTTAAATTTCAGTTGGTTGACAGGGCATCCACATGGGAATGAAAAGATCAAAGTGAAAGGTTTCAGGAGAACTTCCAAACAGCTCATCAAAGATACTGATTGAATAAAGATTGTGTATTTTTATTTTTGCCTGGAATGTAGACCCTCAAGCACCGCTTCCCTCCCTCCCAATGTGACTCACTGGATGTATTTGCTTTCTTGCCTCACCCAGCAGGATGTCCAGAGTGGGCATCTGCTAGCTCCTCTCCACATTGCTGAGTCTCTCTTGGGCTTCCTTAATGCCTCCTGGGCTTCCTTCATGCCTCCTGCCTCATGGTGCCAAGATGGCTGCCACTCTTCCAGGAACCAATTCCACTCTTAGGCAGGAAGAAGTGGGGGACCCCACTGAGTCTGCACGTTAGCCAGGGAAGCAGAGGAGATGGGTCGCTTATGTATCATGGGTAAGACTGGGTTACACGGCCCCACCTCACAGGAAGAAAGACTGGCAAAGTCAGGGTTCAAGTCTTCCAGCTTTGGGCATGAAGTTGGTCAAGGTGGAGTGGCCACCGGTCATTTCACAAGTAGCATTGTTCATCACACACAATGAAAGAGAATTGGGACCATCAGATCCTTGACAAGGAAGGACCAGGTCAGGGTGTGGGCCAAGAGAGAAAATTTGCCCGGCGTTGGCATGCTGGGGGGTGGGAGTGAGCTGAGCCCGGGCCACGGGTGGGAAGGCTCAGTCCCTCAAGGCCCCCAGGCTGCGGGGGAGCAGAGGTCGAAGAAGTCAGGGGCCAAGGTGGAGGAGACAGGCAGGATGGG